TTTGCTATTTTGTTCTGAACATATCTGATATGAGATTTCCAGGAGAATTTGTCATCAACTATGACACCTAGAAATTTAATTTCATATACTCGTTCTATATTAGCTCCCCCAATTTTCAATTGAAGTTCATTATCTAGTCTACAATTCCCAAATACCATAAATTTAGTTTTATCCAAATTCAGAGATACTATATTACTGTCACACCATTTCTTTATCGTCTCAAGTTCCTGTGAAACCCGTCCAGCGAGTATTTTTAGGTCAATAAATATTCCCATCGTGTATTTCTTCTCATCCATAGCACTTGTTATGTCCTCCATCAGGTCGGCAATGACCAAAGATGTCGATCAGTTCGACCTAAAACCATATTGGCAATCAGAGAGGATTTTATGTCTATCAACTCATATCATTCATAAAATTCTACAGACCTGAGCTAGTCTTTTTTCTGAACTTTTCAGCAACACATCTTCACATTTTTTAATTGTGTTATTTGTGTAAAGTGTCAACAACAGTCACTGCTGCTGCTAGTGCTTAAGGATGATAATGGTATGAGCAGTAACCAGGCAGTGGAGTTGCAGGACCAAACCGACCGCAGTCAGTGGAGAGACACAGAGGTGAGGGCGATAACAACCTCTCAGAAGCACAGCCCACTGTGCTGCTCCACATGCATAGATATGAGAGAGCCTGTCTTTATCCCTCTGATCTCACAGCTTTTCTAATGTGTAGTTTTACTTAGTATTATGTTTTCTTCACTGTGAACAATTCATTTAAGCATGACAAATGAAAAACTGCACAGCAGGACAGAACACTTTATTTATCAAAGTGAACAATCCCGTATTATAAGGAACAGGTGGTTGTGGTTCAACCTCTGGAAAACTAATGACCCTTAAATGTTTTCTGACATTTTATAGACAACAATTAATATCACAAATAGGCTCTTTCCTTTTCCCCATCTGGGCACCATTGACATACAGGCCTCAAGAAGTCAAATGGCCCACTGTCCGTTACGATGTCGTCTATCAGATCATTCATCCCACATGGTGAGAAAATGGGTGGCAGCCCAAGATCACGACCAGCTGGATTTTAGAGAATAAAAAGGCTAGACCCTGTGAACAGCTGGTTTTTAGTAATGTGTTGTAAGAAGCCTTCAGTTTCAGTGTGCTGCTGCTGATATATGTGTTGTCTGTCTGTTCAAACCTTGTTGATCCAGAAGACCATTGCGTCCTCCAGGTCAAAGGGCAGCTCCTTTGAGGCACTGAAGGTAGAGAAGCGCTTAACAGAAGCCACCACTTTCTCAATGCTGATCATTTCAACTGTGTAGGCCATCATCAGGGCATCAATCATGGGCATGTGAGCACTCTGGATCAGAGAGAAAGGAATACAAAGGACAATTCAATTTGATTGGATTTTTTTTAATCCAGTTTCTTCCAGTGGAGGTGCCATCACTTTTGTACAAATGCATGTGACAGCATGAATGCCTTCAAAGGGAGACCAACAAAGAGATTACCATATCACATCTCAATTATCATGTCTTGGCTTTTTGCCCTGCACTCCTATAATGCTGTTGGACTCACAATAGACAGCTAAATATTCCAGGCAGTCTTCTTCCTTGTCAAAAATTGGCTTCGTTACCCACAATGCAACTTGCCCACTGACAGTTGAGTCAGAGACTCAATGGTGTAATGCCAGCAGTAGCTACCTTGGCCTCAGGCAGAGAGCAGCAGGCAACCTAACTTATACCTTGAGATTTTTTCATTTGTAAACCTGTAGTCATCAGACAGTTACAAAATCTAATCAGTAACCAGTGAATTCTGAGAGTTCAATGTCTTTCTGAGGTGTAGACAAAATGAATAAGAGTACTGTCTAATTCAGAGCTCCAGGGGCACACGCCTGAGCTTCCAAAACAATTGTGTAGCTTTTAATAACCACCACAATGTAATGAAAGATGAAATCTCTCATTCAGCACAGTGGGAGTTCAACCTTAAACCCACTCTACACCCTAATGCAATGGAGAGGCCCAGCAGGAGCATACTTGCTCTAAGTGGCTTCAACATCTGGTGCCTGCTAGTCAGAATGCTGCTCCTTGAATGCCAGGGTGGGATTTAACACACTCTAAATACTGATAATAAATCTTTGTCCCCAGTTGGCAAAACGCAACTGTGGTAGTCAACTCATTTCCGAATCTCATTTTAAGTAACACTCTGTTACTAAGGGTTATTCCTAGTCCACATCACAGTAAATAATGATACAGTACAAATGAATGCACTACAAAGCCATTGTTTCAGTCAGTGCTTTGTGTAACATGCTGCTAGTCTAATCCAATTGGCAATGGAAGTGCACAGTGATGAGGCTTGTTAACATAATGAATGAAAGCTATTTTGAGCTTTCACCACAGTACAACCTACACAGACACACACAACAACAGCAAAAATCTCTTCTGAGGAGCTGAGTTTCCATTGTCAGAACCTAACAAGGTGTATATACACCTCCTGTTTCCCATTACTGTCACCTGGCATAACCTCATGGGCTGATGAAGACAGTTCTACTTTGCTTTTTTCCCTGTGTTGTTCTCTGTTTAGACAAGGGCAGGACTGTGCTCCTCACACACACACACACACAGCTTAGCAGAGCACGGATCACGATGCTCCTTAGTGCAACAAAACCAGCCAGTGATGGAGACTATGAGCAGTTTATCTTCTGCTGAACAAGCACAAACTTGCAGAAATGTGAGGTCTTCACCGCTTTGTATGCAGTCAACTCACTAAAGTCCCCATTTTACCTCTAAGCTCACAAGTGAAATCCTCATTTTACCAGTGTGTGTGTGTGTGTGTGTGTGTGTGTGTGTGTGTGTGTGTGTGTGTGTGTGTTAGCTCTCGGACCACACCAGTAAAGCAGGTGGAATCAGTGGAAACAAAGCAGAACAAGGGGACAAGGGTTAGCCGGGTTGTTTTGTGTTGTTTTTCAAAAGCAATTATAAATATTAAGGCCACCTCATATAAATACTCAATGCTTTTAGACTGACAGAACTGTGACCAACTGCTTTTCCTCTGCCCCAGTTTAAAGGACAAGACAACTAAAAGGTTTACTGAAATTCTGATCTTAGGTCATCGCTTCTATGAGTTATGATGACACTGTGCTCAAAAACAATTTGTGATGATATGAAAACTTGGCAAGATGAGGGCATTAATTTCAATAATCCAGACAATCAAAAGGGTTCTAACAAGCTGAAGGTTTAGCCAAATGCTAGTTACTAACAATATTTAATTACACCACAAAACTACAGTATGTGTGTGTGTGTGTGTGTGTGTGTGTATAAAATCTAATAAGTACAAAGGGTCAAAACTGAACTATGAAGTGTGTAAACTGTAGTGGATATTAACAAAAGACACCTTGAGTAATAATTTCACCTTTTGCCTGCATTTTATCTCCCAGGTTTAGCTAGCCTGGAGGATTGTGTAACACATGTATTATCAACTGACTGCTCCTGTCAGACAATATAGTGATGTTGGAATATGAGGTCTCAGCAGGGAGAGAATATAATATTAATGAAATCTGCATAAGAAGACAACCTAAGCTGAATGAAGCAACAATTATTTACTTTCACAGCTCTGGCATCACAGGTTTCAAACTAAACGTCTAAAAATTTCAGTTTAAACATGCAATATAATATGAACAAAGAGTCATACAAACTTTAAAATATTATGAGAAATTATGAAATGACTCGTCATCAAAATGTTGTAGTGCATATAACACCCAAGTCTCAATCAGTGCTCAATAAACACACAAAAGGGCAAATCCAACAACTTGATGTACTGTTCAACCTTTTGTTCTCCTCCAACACTCTGCCCTCATCAGTGCAACATGGAGCTCCAAGGGAATCAGAGGGCTGATGTTGCCCTGAGCTGTGTGTGTGCATGCTGACAGATCGACGCACACATATTGTACATAAGTGTAAGCAGACTAAATAGGATGGCCAGCTTCTTCAGGTTTTACAAGCCCCAGCAGCTGCTCCCATGACAGTCAAACAAGGTGCAACAAGACCTCTTTCAATCACACAAACACACACACACACACACACACACAAAGAAAGAAACTGCAGGTTGCTATGGAAACAGCCTGTCTAGTCAGCAAAATTGAAAAGGGGGTTCCAACAGTCTATCAGAGATAAGCAGTGTCCTGCTCAGGATTTTCCATCCTCTCACCAGGCTTTGTGTCTGACTGCGTACACATGCGCCTGTGTGGATTATTTCGTCAGGCTGTCACTGGAAAGCTGACACACATCCCTGACTAGCCAGCCTGCAAACAGGAGGCTTGCTCAACACCACTGCTGGTTTCCATGGTAACAAGAGTAAGGAGATGACTGAGAGCAAGGGATATGGTTGGCGTTCATTCTATCCTGTGTGAAGTGCTCTTGGTGAAATTGTGAGACACTGGATATTATTGGCACCCCCAGGGAGGGGGGTTCATTCATTGAGCTGTGACGAGGTGCTGTTGACTCAGGTGACAACCTAAAAGATGTGGGTTACACACTGAGGACATTTAGCCCAATAAAGAGCTAATCTGTGAAAACATTATGGACACAATGACTATAGAAAGAGTCAGCAGAGCCTAGCCAACAGAGTCGTGTATAAGCAGGTATGACCTTTCAAAATATTTAAAATCTCTCCAGAATCGAATTGCAGGGGAGAATTTGGGAAAATGTGGGTGAGAAATATATCAAACAATAAAATCCACTCTCAGAAATATTAGTGTAAGAGTAACCCGCTTAACACTTGTGCCCATGATTAAACGACCCGTTCAGAGAGGACACAGCCCTCAATTTTTTTTTTATCAAAATATATACAATCTTTTTTTCATGAAATTAACAGAAGGTGGTATTTTCAATAAAGTAATAAAATATCAGTTAGTTGCACCAATACAGCACCATGTTAGGGAAAAACTATACTATGATAATCATAAACAAAATGTTTGACTGCAGAATCCCATATCAACAACTATACTAGATAGATATGTAGGCCTATTTTCCCAAAAAATACAGCAGATAAATAATACAGCAATCCCACCAGTGACGGCAGATTAATCAACAGCAGAAAGACTTGTTAGCTACAGTCCTAAATGAAAGGCAATAATCAGTTATAATGAAGTATGGTCCATCTGTAGCTCCTGGAAATGTTTGGTATGTAAAAACAATGATGCTTTGATTATGAGACATTGCCTTGTAATTGTAACTTAGGTAAAAATTGTTCACTGCAACCATTAACCACTGGTGACAATGGTATTAAAAGACTGTCCAAAAAGGCTCCATGAAAATGAGAAGAGGGAAAGTGGTTTTAGAAGTGAAAATAAACCTGGCTAAAGGACTCTCAGGACCGACTAGATACAATGCTGCCATAGCAGTGTAACAAACGCACCACAAATCCTAATCACAGCCTTATCTTGCATGCGAGTCCTCACCCACTAGTACGTGTAACAGTCAAATTCCACCTCTCCATTTGAATAAAAATGATAAGGGAGCACTCAAATCATCTGAGTCTGTTTCATCAAGTCAAATACTAAAGCACATATATGTATATGCAGTGTATAAAGTAATGACAACTGGTGACATTTCATGCCTATCCAAAAGGATTTAGTTACCCCCACATAACAAACAAAAGCTTTCTTATTGGGGGTGTCTGAAATCGCCTATTACACATGTACGTTAGTACATTTTTCTGTCAGATACCTCCTACTCTTAATGAAATTGCAGTAGGCCACTCCACCATCTAGTAAGCACAACTTCAGACATATCACTATGCAGTCGTCATGTCTCCGAGTGACCCAGATGTTTACATGTGACAACAACAGTCGCTCATTCTTCATTCATTCATTCATAATAGTAGTAGCGTAGTTGTCACTGCTCACTTACCAGTGTTATAAATGGTAAAATATATGTTGGCAGAAGCCTTGAGCCTAAGAGTTATATTATGTGAACTACCACATTGTGTATCACATACAGTACAGGTTATTGAATGTGAGCACAATGGCTAAGTAGAACTAGCTAGCAGGCAGGTTAGAGGGTCATCTCATCTCTGAAAACAGTGTTGGAAATTTCTAAATTTGCATTATTTGGATTGACCACATACTCGAGATGGTTATTTTCTTGCCTAAAATTTTATGAAGTGGCAAATCGTCTCACCATTTTGATGGGCACACAGGCCAGGTCCCCCTCTGTGACAGGTGTATCGTCACTCTCCACAACATATATTCCCTTCCTGGACAGAGCCTGGATGACAGACAGGTGGGACTGAAGAGAAGCTGCCTGCTCCGTCTTGAGGATGAGGGCGCAGACACGACAGTAGAGTTCACAAGACAGCAGCAGGCGGATGACAGGCGGCTTGATGTGCTCCTGGTCATACTGGTCTGTGTAGAACGGATCCCTTAAGTCCTCTGGAATATGGTCTGCAATAGAGAGAGTGGTTAGGTGGATCATGAGGATTCGCCCTGTGCTCTCAAAGTAGTATGTGCAGTTTTCCAGTTGTCACTTGGTTTGAAGACAGACACATGGGTTAGCTGGTAAAACAAAATAGCAAGATACTATTTGACAAAGCAAGAAAATGATGGTGCCTGGCAAACATGTTTAACACAGACATCTCCATGTGTCTCAGCCTACACCTATGAAACCTTTACAGTGTCAAGAGACTACAGCAATGTGACAAAGCATAGCACTCTCTGTACATTTGTTCTATATCAGCAGTTTACTTGGAACAAACATGGCCATTTGTGAGTCACAGCTTATTGCAGGAGTACATTGGGAAACAAATCCTTGCTAAGATGAGCCCTCAGTGAGAGCAGGCCTCTCGGGTGACACACTCAGTTTTGCCAGCACTAATGTAACAATACTACAGCCACAAAAAGGGGAAGAAAACTATGATCTATACAAGTAATTCTGTTGCTTTCTATGTGAAGTCATTCCCAAAACCAGAAACCACAGCCATACAAGGGCATGGCATGAAGCACTTGTCATGAGGCACACACAACCCAAATTTATACTGCAAGGTAAATCACAGACAGGCTTAAAACTGTTCTAATATAAGCCACAGAACCTGTGCAAAATTTTGTATGTTTTTACAAAGTGGTGTGGTGACAGAAATATCCCTGTTCTATTAAACCAGTTTTAAACTCTGCCTGAGCTCCAGTAACAGAGCATTAGCTGTACATGTGTTTGCAAAGTGTTTTGAGCATCTGCTCTGACTGACAGGATAAAGGTAGCCACTTATCAGCAATCCTCTGCTCACAAAAACAGAAAGGGAGGCAGCTTCTTCCAACAAAAGCTGAACTGCACAAGTGAGGAGGCAACAAACAAGGCTTTGAGAAATATTTGGAAAGGTTTACTTACATAATATCACATGTGGGATTTCCTAGTTTCTGGCAATGTTTTTCTTCATTAGGTTTAGCCTCAGCTAAACCCTGCTCTTCTGTTGTTGCCTCTGCTCCCTTGTGCACAGTACATGTGGCTTATCAGTCTTGTCATTCGCTGATGGAACTTAGGAGGCAATTATGAAAATTTTGTTTAACTCAGCAATTTTTCCTGCTACTGCATTTATGAAGATTTGTTGTGATGCAAGAACGAAACTGCAAAGAGGCTTGAACTGAAATGGTGATTTTTAATATAATTAACCATGCAGCCCTTATTTCGGTAACTACTAATGCTCAGGTCACATGGATGTTCTATACCGTATTCCACATGCATCATACCAACACAGAACTCACCAATAAGCTGCCACCATACAAAAAAATGATGGCATGGTACAACAGTGTCAGTCTATTATGCTTGGCACTGTGGGTCATCCCTGCAGAGTTGTGTCTGAGTACATAAAGACATTAGAACAGTGGGAGTGATTGTGTATGAAAACAAAGGGGTCTGTCGATCAGTCTCTTCCACAGACAGTGATCCTGTATGGCAGTTGCCCCCCCACTCTCATCACCAGGAGCCCAGCTGAAAAATTTACTAACTGAAATAGGGTGGAGCATGAGGATAGGGTCCAGCAACAAGAACCAGGATGTGCTACAGCAGTTAGCCAACCATGATCAGTGGCACAATATGACCAGTACAAGCAGGGAAGGGACCAGCAATGACAGGTTCTCACTCTCACTAGTGTTTGTGTCTGGCTGTCTGCCACTCACACACGGAGCAGCTGTGGCACATGCAGAGGGCAGCAGGACATCAGAGCATGTACATACACACACAGGCATGCATGATGAGACTTTACAGGGTACCATGCTGATGAGTACAGATGCACCTGAATCCCTGACAAGCCCCAAATGACAAGATGGCTGCACTTATAATGGAACGACATCAGACAGCCTGTTTACACTGCACTGTTTGAGTCTGTCAGTCAATGCATGAACCAAGCGGACAACTATGGAGCATTAGCATCATAAAAGACACCATATGAGCCATAGGGAAAATGAGTCTAATATGTTCAGTTCCCATGGGAAGATGATAAATGCAGCCGCACCTGAGAGTTGCCTCCCACTGGTCCCACAAAACCTTTGGGGCCACTGTGTGTGCTATAACTGAATAGCATGTCCACTCAAGCTCATTATTGATGCATCATTTTGTTTGTACAGAGATGTTTTTATGCTCTCTTTTGACCAGCATCATCATCTTGGACCTAAGATGACAGACAGTTAACTAAACAAACTAATGCCCATAAGCCTTGGTATAAACTCTAAGTAATCAAACTAAGCAAATAGGATTTTAGATCAAATTGCTCAGCAAAACAGCCAATAGCTTTTCTTCCATTAACTGGATTACCATTAAAATGCCAACCTTGTTGTCATTTGTTTACCATGAATGCTTCAGTGACATCAGGAAATCTGTGTAATAACCACAGATATGCAAGAAACCACAGAATACAAAGGAAGACTTATATGAGCCTCTGAAATAATGATGGGAGATTTGGCCAGACACTACAAAGATACAATAGATGTGCAAAGCAGTGAATGATGGGAATTGTGCATCAGATAGTTGAGGTTTACACTGACCACGTGTAACCGCTATGATATGGAGACACCCTGTCATCAAAAAGGTAGCTACCAGCCCTGCAGGAAAACAAAGGTTCCATGCTGTGATGCTGAACCTGTAACATTTTTGTTGATGATTAAAAAACTGCCAAACAGACAGGATGTTGTCTGATGCCATGTCTGAGTTTAGAGGTTAAACATAATATTTTAATATACAAGTATGCACAAATGTTCAAAACCTGGACTGCATGGTTTACTCACTGACTGGAACATCATAAGAATAGAGTACTAGTTGTGATTATATAACAATTTCAGTATTACTCTCACTTTTCAATATTAGGTAAATAAGTCTTATCCTCAGAGGTGTTTCTAATATTTGGTCCACACCATTCATAACAATCTGGCCTAAAGGCCCAGTTACTTATGCTGGCAGAATCCTAACAGCGAGTGTGAACGACTGGCAGTACAGATCAGTACTGTCTGACAAATATAGCCTAATCCTCAGTGCCTTTCACCGAGTCTGGTTTGGGTTCAATCTGACTGGTCACCCTCCAAGAATGGAAGAATCTGGTGAGTAGCTGAGAGAAGGTTCAGTTGCCAAGTGTCATAAGGGTATTGGCTCAAATGCACACAAAATATTTCTTTCTCTTGGGCTTTTGCCGTCAGTGTTTCACCACTGAGGCTCTACATGGCCTGCTGACTGTTAGTGTGTTGAGAACAGTAAACACTGTTCCAACAATAATATCAGAATTTCTGAAATAATTGTGAGCAGATTTGAAAAATATGCTGCAGGCACCATCTCAGGATTCATTAAGCTATCTGTGCTCCAAAATGGTAGACATATAGATTCACAACTAAGTCTTGTGGTCAACTGTAAATGTTAAAAAAAAAAAATCTGTGTAGCTTGAATGTAAATTAAAATACCTACCAATGCCATAGGCTTTGGCAAACAGCCACTGCAGGTTGGCAGCTATTTTGGCTCTGGCGGAGTCATACATCTCCGGTGGGACCACATCCATTGTGCCTTCTGCAACCCCAGCCAGATCTGCTTTTCTCCTGGTGCTGTCCCCATCAGCGCACAAATCAACATCCATCCTTAAAAATAAAAATAACAAAAAAATACAATGTTAAAGTTGCAATTATTCAGGGACTACTGCTGACCAGTGGACACAGCCATCCACAATCTGCCAGGTTGTTAATTCCCTTGGCGTGACTTGCTCTATTAGTGATTCTTCAATAAAGTCTCATCTCAACTGATGTTTGTTGATAGAAAATACTATTTTTGGTGTTGCTCTTATTTATCCTGTTAGTGGCCAATTAGACTTGCATCTGGTACCCAAGTAGCAACCTTGCAGGCATGATCACATTCATTTTGTCAAATGCTTAATGAAGGAGTAGAGATGTGTGTTTTGTGTAAGTGGTGCTTAAATTAACCTACAGTGAAACCACTATGACTTTAAATAGTGACTCAAACACCATCCATTACATTAATTGCAGCAAGCGCATTGTGTACTCTGCTACACTGTTGCAGAGCAAAACATATCTGATTTTGGTCAGTGACCAAAAAAAGGTTCATCATTAAAGCTAATAAGTAACGCCCTCACACTGACAAACAAAACTCCAGACAGTAAATGCCCAGCCTAGCCTGAAGGAAAAGAGCCCCCAACTCCTCCAATGACTTTCTTTAGACTGTTCTGTGACATGTCTTCATTTAGAAAACAGGCTGTGCATCTAAAAGTTATTATTATTATTATACACGACTGTCTGCAGTGAGTCAGACTGACTCATGTTTCTAATCTAATCAGTGGCTCCACTGAACTCAAAACGCTTTCACTTTAAACCGCCCTTCCTGCTAAAATCTGGACATTTCCATCAAAATACTTTGGCCGCTGCTTTGTAAGACAAATCTAAGTGGCAGTGTACTGACATTTACAAGTCCAACAGAGCATCTCTAAAGACACTCATGACGGTATGAACACTGTCAGGAAAAACAAGTACATACACATACTATGGTCCCACATGTTAATTTTGAGCAGAACACCAAAGTTAACTTGGCTGCTGTTATTGTTACATTACCTGTAGCATTAGTTCACCATTACCTTACCCCTAACGACCCTATGTTGGCTTGTTCAACAAGCTAGGTAATTACTAATGTAGTTAGGTTAGCTTTAACTGTAACGTTGTTATGTCTGAGCACGTTATTTGAGGGAACCACAGTTAGCTGGCAAAAAAAAAATCACGTTTATCTAATACTGGGTTAGCTAAGTGTTCACGCATGCAAATGTAAAGCAGCTAACCATTAGCTTGGAGCAGCACAGCATTCATCGGCCCCATGAATGACGTTAGCTAGCTGGTAAGACATTACCTTGAAAGGTGCAGTGTATTTCCAAGTCACCCTTCAGTTCCGTCCGGCTAAACAATTAACCAAGGACCTGCCTCGCTGTATAATGGCCTGCTGTGTAGAAAATATACCAGCGGCAGCGACGCATCATAGCCAGCTATTAATGCTAGCAGAGATTCTGAATGGTCTCCTCCCAGCAACAAGACCCGACCCGCGGCCTGTGTAACAACCGATCCACGGTAGACTTCCAGCTAAAACAAACGCCAGGCAGGAAAAAGGGGAGATTCCCAGTGACGAGGCACGACGTACAGAGGCTCTTCAGTTTAAATATCTCTGTATTAAATGCCTCATGTTAGATAACAAATACATACATATATTTGAGACTCGGGTAATGCAGCAACAACCAGTAATATGTTCGCGCTCTGCCCATAGGATTGTAATTACTATCCCAGCCTGCGTAAAAGGAACTAGTGCGCATGCGTGATCACCACCCAGCTTTACAGTAGTAGCCTGCTTGTACTGTCAATAACACACCAGCAGTAACTCACTCTCCTACATAAATTTCATTCATTTTTAAGAAAAAATGCTGACCTGACTCTTTTTTTGTTGTTATTTTAAAATCTGCCTAGTTTCAATTTACCCTCTAAATCTTGTAAAAACAGGGCTCCTGGGAATCATATTTGTATGGAAAGCTGACTATTACCACAGGTTATTGCTTTATTTCAATTCCACTTTATCACGTGAATAGCCTATATATTTGCATTTTTATTAAAACAGTCAAGAGTCTGTGTTGTCCTTGTGACACTGACCACTGATGGCATCTAGTGGTGAAGTGTGGATTCAGAACTAGATACATTTAGAGATGTGAAAATTGGCACCCTTACGTCACTGAAACCTTTTTCCTGAAAAATGTTGAAAAGCATTTTTGTCAGGAATACCTGCACGCCTATGGTTTGCCATAGATTAAAATAAAAAACTGTGCAACGAGCTTCTAAAATGGTCTGAATAATTTACTGGTGGGTTACCCCTATAAGTGGTGATAAATAAGTGAATTGTAGTGACATTTAAAGCAGACTACTGTTTGCAGTTACTAGGTGTCTTTAATCATATATTCAGTCATTCATCCTATTTAAATTGAGACAGGTGCTTACTTAGCTGTTTGGTATCACTGTGTGCACCACACTGAATATGAACAAGAGAAAGTAAAGTAGAGAAGATAATGAAGGAAATAACTGTTAAAAATACTCTCAGGCAACTCCAAGGTAAAGGCTACAAAACTATCTGCAAGCAGCATGATGTTCCTGTGACCATAATATTATTAAGAAGTTTAAGTTGACAAGCTATGATGCTTCTGGGAGAATGTCATCATGTAGTTCTCATTCTGTGAGTTTTGCCCATGGGCCTATTGTGTCATAATTGATCCATGTTTTCAGTGTGTCAATCTTAGACAAAAAAAGAGTTCAAGGTAAACCCAATATATTACAAGACAGCTTAAGGAAATTCCAACTGCAAATATTTCTGGAAGGTACAATTTGACTTGCAGCAGTTGCATTTCCAAAAGAATACACAACCTCAGAAAATGATTGAACTGAAACAATGCAGGCAAGAAAGAAAATCAAATCATCTGACAGAACTTTATTTGTAAGCTGCTGTGTACTTTTAGTTTTCATATTTATTGTGGTTTACACTCCTCAAGGCCAGCAGAAAAAAATAATATATAATGCAAACCAGAGGACTAGGGTCACCTCCCCTTCTTACCCATTTCATAATATATATGGGTGTTATTTAATACCAAATTTAAAAATGTGAGGCATTTATCAGAGTATCTATTTAGATCTGGCCACTGTTCTGAAATCCATGTAGATATGGTCAAGGTTTGCATAAAAACACACAAGTAGTGGGCACCAAATTGTACATTTAGGATACTGGCTTGACACAAGTCACCCATCCACCAAACAAAATGATAACTCCAATTGAAACATTCAACACTAAACACAGAACCTAACAGTGGGTTTCTCCTGCCACTCATTTGTTGACCTGTCAATCACTTAAACACACATAATCCAAAGAATACAGCCACAAAAATAACTTTAATGGAATAGTGATTTAGAGGCCAGGGGCCACGAGGCTGTTTAGATGAACAGATTGCGAGAGTATATTGCATAGGTTGTTGATCTGGGACAGTCCTGCACATAAGCTGAGTGAAGACAATAACCTGCGACTCCAACAGGTCTTCAGTGTCCCTAAGCAATACAGTTCATTTTGTTCTTCTTTTGCTCTTCTTTTCATCTGACCATTTTCAAAGAAATCGGCATTTTCTGTGGGCTTTTTCTTTACACATACTATCTCCCAATTTCAGTTTCATAATATTTCAGGAGAGATGGATCTGCATGCATGGCAGCTGTGAGACAGCCAGTCACCGTGGCCATGATAAAGGTACACTGCCATGCAGTGTGTAGAGAGGCTTCCCAGACACATCTAGAAATCCTCCTCCACCCAAACATGTTCTACTACTTTAAATCTCAATTTTTATAATGGTTTGTAAAAACAAACTTTTTTTTTCACACTTGTAGATTAGCTTTGAAGTTTGCTAAAAATGTTATAATAGTTTAACCAGTTTGGCTTTGATATAAATAAACTAATAGTACATCATTCAACGTCTCTCTCAAAACATTTAAATATTTTAAAATATTGCATACAAAGCCATGAGTTCTGGTGTTTGCACTCATAAGCAAAGTTCTAGACAGATTAATTAAAGCCATTTTCAAATGCCGAAGTCAAAGGGGAGTGAGCAGAGGTTTGCTATAACGGCGGGTTTACAAAAACAATCTCAGCCTCCCTGAGCAGAAAGTCACATCTATACCACATTTTAAATATTGAATAAAAACACTCAAAAGCTTGGCAAAACACACCACCCTCCATATTGTTTTTAACTCTCAGTACAAGAAGGTGCGGCAAAGCTGACCTTCTTGCAGCTGGAGATTTTAAGTACTCAACGCAAAGGCTATTATTGTAGAACACACTACCTATCGCAGCTCACACATCGGTAACACTCCAATCAAATATATTTCTTTACAGGTCAACAGAAGTCTTTGCTATTGCACAGAAATACAGAGTATTTTCAATGGATACACCTAATGACAAGGCAGGTTACACAGGGATGTTTTTGTTTGGTTTGACAGCATAAATGTTCACTGCTCTCAGAAAAACAAACAAAAACAAACAAGTAACCCCAAACTCCAACACTTGTTTCATCAAAAATCATATTATTTCTTTGTGTTTATGAAGTTGCTTGCAGCTCCACAGAATGAAGTGAGCATGCATCTTCAGCTTTTAAATTAAAGGCTAAAAAAGGCAAAACCTTTTTGATTAGGCTCAGCTTCATTTAACATCCCACAACAGCTGTTTGAAACAAAATATTAACCCTTCTTTTAAGTCCCTCAGTGCTGCAGTGAGTGATATTCACAGAGGTGAACAAGTGCTAAATGAGCTCAACATGATAATATAACATTCAAGAGCACATTGACAACAAACAGACAGGCCTAATATACCATTTTCTTGTAAAAACATAACTAAGACAGTTTAGTGTACAGCTTTCCTCTAAAAGGCAAAAAAGTCAAATAAATATTCTTTAAAAAGCTCAAGGACAAATGCTTTCTTTAAATTGAGATACAGTTGGCTTACAGTGACCTCACAGGCATGAATGGAGAGAGGTATGTGTCTGAAAGCCCATTTTTTAATGAGCTTAAACACTCAACTTTCACCACTGCCTCTCAATTACAAGTTGTTTACGGTTATTTGTTGATGAAAATGAGACAAAGGATAGAAGGAAAAGAAAACATGATATCGACAGAAGTCTTCAATTTAAAGAGAGAAAACTGAAATTGATATTTAAATATTGTAAAACATAGAAAAAGTTATTTTAAGTGTAAACATTTAAATTGATGTCTGATGTCACCTTTGCACATGGAGAAATTATATAAAATAAATCATGTCTGTCATAACTATAAATTGTTCTCATTAAAATGTAAAAACATACTAAATCTCAATTTTTATTATTACTGTAACAATAATGCTTAACATTGTTTTGAATAAGTATTTTACTGTACTGTTATAAATAGTTACATGTGTAACATCTTAATCCACACTCTGACTCCTCCAGCTTTGTCTTTACAAGGCAAAAACAATACTCGTGTCTCTGCCATACACAGATACACACACGCACCAATATGGTCACACACAAGCTGCCGCAGTCACACGGGAGGGGGGGTCACCAGGAAGCTCTATGTGCGATTGAGGGTCTGGAAGATTCTGGATATTTGGAGCATGACAGGGCCAGTCTCAGGGTCGTTCATCCACTGGGTGCTGTTCAGAGGATTCTCCAACATATCTTCAAATGCTGCACACAAACACAAGACACACGGTTGAGAAAATATTTAACCACACCACCAGCCTTTAAAAGCGTATGTAAACACCTAGCCTTTTGATATTCTGTGAAATAACCTACAGCATATTAGCACACTTAAAATACTCAGGCCCAAAGTGGTTTAACCTCAAAGGAAATAAACAACTTTCAGGCTGCTTTCACACCCAAACCACTTGGTTCAGTTTCCATGAACTCTGTGGTCTGGTTTGTTTGGGTTGGAATAAAAGTTGACTGGTGTGATTCATTTGTGGGATGAAAGCAAAATTGACCAACCACAACATTTCTTAATAGTACAGTGATTTTAGCAAAAATTCAAAAGCTAACCTATTATTAAACATTATTAAACTCATCTGCTGATTATGTACTCTGCAAACTTCCAAACTGTGTAGCCTGCATTTTACACAAAAATTATTTGGAAATCGTGGTATGATTATTTTTTTCCTAAATTAACTTTCCTGCAGGTGTGAAAAGAGCCTCTAGATCTGCTTCATCCTGCGATTGATGTTAATGTGACTATTACCACTAAATTAGGTGGCACTGTACCTAGCAGAGTCTTGGGATTGGTTAGACCCAGCTGGACTACTGGATTTTCCAGGATGGCTTGGAACAGTGGGCTGTTGATGTCAATGCCTTTATCCAGATCTTCTGGAGAAGGTTTCCTGTCTCCCAGCAGCCACTCACACTGCAGGGCAGAAAAATAACATCAGCAATCAAATTTCCTTTATGTTTTTGAAAATGCATTAATATCTTTAGCAGAGTAGAGTGCAGGATCAGATACACAACAATGTCCAATATTTTTTCAGAGAATGGTACAACAATTAATTTCGATTACACTTAAGCTATTGAATATTCCTTAAAATTGATATAGTTAAGTCCAGCACTGTTCAGGTCTTAATGTTTTTAAGCATCAAATGTAGAAATGACCCAAACATGGTCTGTGTAAATGACTGCAAGCAATACAGTTTTCAAAACAAAAACAAAAAACAAGGTAAAATCATGTGGTCAGCTCCTGTCACCTGGATTTACCTGAGAATCAGGCTTGGAGTAGCATCACAGGTTACCAGAGAGCTTGTTCTCAAATCTGGTACTACTATATTTTTTCAGTACTTGTTCTGCCTGCAAATACCACTATTGTATGTGTGTTTACCTACCGCAGCATCCTGTTGGTTGTTGTTGACTCTCAAAGCATCAATCACCTCCTTTTCATCAAAGCCCATTTCCATCAATGCAATGACAGCCTGCAGAAACAGAAAAAGATCATGCGTTCAGTTTAAGAGCTCCTTCTAATTACAACAACACATACACAAGTGTCTTGGGGACAGAAACTAATTTCTGCACAGTGGAGGAAAGAGCAAGGGTCAAGTCCTACAACCACTCAGATGGCCACTATGTTAGACAAATTATCCACACTGGAAGTGTTCCTTTGGAAGATGGTATCTTAATCACATTTCTATTTTTGGAGATGGGGGGCAGTGTTCTTGGGAAAACTAAAGGTGCAATTATGGGAGTGAGAGGACTCTGAACACAATCATAAAAACTTTGTAACTAAAGCCAGCAACGCTTTATACTGATGAGTGTACATTCAATCGATTCCAGTTTTACACTGTATACAGCTTATTAGATGATTCAGTCACAGGCTGCAAATAATTTCAGTTATGAACAGTGGTGCCTGCAGCCGTAATCCTGTACGCAGTGTGCGTACATTACTGTACCTAGCGGTCATTGTACAATCAATATACAACATATACACTGAAATATAGTTTCACATTTATGGTTGCTGTGTGGAAAGTTGGTATGGGAGGTGTTGATGAGAGAGGCTGGTGGACCAAAAGAGATGAGGGAGTGGTGCTCATGCTCATAGTGCACTGCACTCAATTCAAGCTGTGCAGGGCTCAAGTTATTATAAGAAATTACAGTAGGCTATGTTGTTGACAACATAGCCTACAGTTTGTCTTTATAACAGGAAAATACACTATGTCATAATAAAGTGAAAAATGTGTTTTAAGATGAAAGTATCTCATAAAACAAGCAAAGCATCTTGTAATAACAAGAAAACAAGCTTAATGCTGCTGTAGGTAGTTCTTGTGCATACTATGAAATATAATCCTGCAGGTGTCACTGGTTATGAAGACAAACAGCATCTTCCTACAAAATATGAAATACTGAAAACCAGAATATAAGTGCCTACGTGGGAGAGCACTGAGACAAATTTGGCACAAATAAATAGTCAAAGTACTGTATGAAAGCTCCAACTTGATAAAGCCACACACTCTTGAGTCCGGTCTGAACTCCCGTTTCCTACGGATCCTTTTGAAGATCTCTGTAAGCTCATCCTGCCTGCTGCTCTCTTCTGTGCTCGACTGGCTGGAGAGGCTGCGGAGAAGAGTAGGACCGGAGGCTGAGGCAGAGGGGCCTGGTGTGGCAGCTGCTGTGGCTCCTGCTGCTCCAGAAGAGTCCTGGCCTGGTAGTGGTGTGTCTACAGTGGGATCGTCTACACGCTCGATCAGCCACTCCATTGCCTGGGTCACAGACATACTACAGGAAGAGAGAATAAGATTAGAAAGAAATGGTGTCCCCAAAGGCTTTTAGAATGAATGAGAATAACACCATGCTAAACAAGACCAGCAACAACTTCTCTGTACAACAGAGTAAATAATCTGTGCATATTTGGTTTGTTTAATTCATTGCATACTTACTGGTTCAATCTAAGAGCTTTGGTGGCTCTGCTCTCAGGGAACCCCATCTCAGTGAGCTGCTGAAGGGCTGTTTCATCCACCCGATCATCTTCATCTTCATCCAGCATTGCTACAAGACAGAACTATAACTAATGTTGGGCAATATGTGTAAAATGTCTACAACAATAATCAACAGCATCTATTTTTCTAGCAACAAAACACTGAATTATGTCTCAGAAATATAAAAGAAATTGTAAATAACGTCCACTGCACCGAGCCTAATGGTAAAAATTAAAACAGTGCATATCAATTTAGTGGTGTGCACTGCTGCTTCACAGCAGGCAACCGGGCACTTTCAAGGTGGAGTTTTCATGTTAACCCCATATCTGTGTTGTCGGGGAGCTCAGGTTTCCACCCACTTGACTACAGGTGTTGACTCTGCATTACACTGGAGACTGGGTGAACCCCAACTCTTGCCCAGTGTATGCTGAGTTTGGCTATCGCTCTCCATAATAAGGTGCAGTTTTTTTTTTGTTTTGTTTTTTACAATGTCTGTTACATGTTAAACAAAACCTTTTATAATGCTACCTTTCCCAGATTATAAACACTTGGAAATGGGTTTAATGGATTGTATGCTTTACCATTGGCCTTCCTGAAAAGTTCAACTGCATCAGGGTTCAAGGCAAGAAGCTTCTGGGCAACTTCGATGAGAGAGACCAGGATTTTTCTAAGCTCTGTCTGAAACTGGAACAAAACAAACATTTAAAATCAATATCAACTTTGACACTATCAATTTTTCTAATAGTTTAAACTATGAATGAACTCTGAACTCTTACTGAATTGAATCAAAATGTTCAAGTTTCAAAGCATCCTGTTATCTTAAGCTATCCATCTAAGAACCTTACATCTCTGATGTTGTGTTGGGTAACAGTACGGTCAGTGTGGCGTGTGGACAGGTTGGCAGTGGCTTTCAGGATAGCATCTTTGTCTGGAGCTTTGTTATCTTGTTTCTTCTGTGACAACCAGGTCATACAACAAAGAGAGTTAATAAAGTTAAGCAAGACAATTTTTGTATGCAAGTTTTGAAGACATGCTTTCACCTCTTTACAAAAAGTTGATTAAGCTTACCTTTTCATCTGAACTAACATCTGCCATCTTTGGTGGGGTTGGTGGTGGCCTTTTCTTTATAAGCAACAGAACATCTATAACAGATATGAAATATGCTCAAAAACAGTGCATAATTGTTTTGTAACAATGACCAAACTTATTTTTAAAAAGTGCGTTACATACCTTTATCTTTGAGATTTTCATCAGCAACAGTTTTAGTGTCTGTGAGCACTCTTTCTGTAGCAGCATGTATAAGTTTATGGTGGGTAAGTGTTTTGGGGTCTTCTAGACTTCCATGTACATACTACCAAAAAAACAAAACAAAAAAAAAACAAAAGCACAATATAAAGTAGCAGAGCTGCAACTACAAATAATTTTCCATGATCATTAATCTACCAATTATTTTTTAAGTTCTGTCACAATTTCTGAGGATTCAGTTGACAACTTAAATGGTATTTTTGTCAAGAACCGCTTACCCAATTACTGTTTTTAAATAAGCTGTTTTTAAATATTTACTAACTCTGTAACCAATTAGTAAATTAAACACCCTTTAAAACTAAAATGTGTTAATAAAAGCTGATAATGTCAACTTTCCTCATGATTATCTGTGCCCATGTTGCTGTTACACAAAATGTCATTGAGTCTATGTACATCTTACCATTTTTTAATAAGAAAAAGACATTTCACCACCACATCAGTTTATACTATAGCCCATAGAAGGAGAAGAGAGAGGAGCTGTGTAATAATAGCCTGAAATACAACATGCCTCTCTAGTTAGCTACTGGGAACACAACAGGGGTAGTATTAGCTCGCTAACTACCTTGAGAGAGGCAGGCAACCTTCTAAATTATAAATAGCAAAGTCTACCCAGTTACTATAAATACAAAGTCAGTGACACTGACACTGACAGTTTACACAGAGTGCATGGTAGACTGCAAACACCTCAGACAGAGGAGTAACGTGGCAAAAAAATCAACTAGGGAGACACAAACAACCCAAAACCTACATGTTTTAAGCACCTCTCCTTCAGTTTCTCAACTGTGGTGTCTTCCGTGACCTCCTCCAACCACTCCGTGCCGTCCATGGTACAGATGTGTATTTTCAACACTTTGCCGGCGAATATCTTCTCCTCCTGGACGAACATAGCAGCAGTATTAAGAATAAAGAGTACCAGTCCAGTGACGTTAGCTAACAGCAGTTGCTATGTGTTCCTGGCAAGCTAGCGTGCTAACGTTAGCACACAGCTAGCCGTCGTTCTGTAAATCCACCGACAACAGAGCAGGAGCATGCACCAATTAGCTGAGGGCCATTTTCCATTCCCTCTGCCGGTTTTCAATGCGGTAGTGACCGTTTGGCGTATTCTGTCCCTCGCCAAGTAGTTTATTTTCCCTCTTAACACAAGCAGTCAGCCAGCGAGTACCCTATTTCACTGTAATGTTTGAACGTTGAACTTTAAAAGTGCTACGACCGGTGCATCATGGGACTTGTAGTTCTCGCATCAACTCACAGTATAAGAACATTGACAAGACACTGTGAATGATGTTAGTGCCATAATAATAATGAAAAATAATTCAAAATTTCCTATAGGATTTTCACTTTTATGTACACAAATATTGTGTTTATTTTATTTGTCCTCAAGTCTCTTAATGACATTTCCTGAACAAATAAAGCTTAGGCTAATTAACTAAAGACAGAAAAATATAAGAACATATTTTTAATACAGTCTATTTGTATGTAAAGTGATTTCACTTTTCATCTTAGTTTAGGTGAATGTTGAAAGGACCAAGACTGAACACTTCCCATTTCAGGCAGTTTACTTTGACAAACTTGGGTGAGATTAAGATCAATATACGTATCAACATAGTCAGATACCTGAAATGTATACAATCCCTCGCACCCCCAGACTATACTCTGCAGGTGGTGCAGATGCCTCTGACCTACAGCGTTTATATCTGTCATATGCTTCATAACCTCAATGTTCATACCTTATGTGGCAATTTGGACAAAAGCACTTAGATGCTGTGACTCAACCTTGATAGACAACAAGTCAAGAGGTCATATCTGTCCCTGATGTAAACTTCAGTGAGACAGCCTGTGATTCAGTTGGGAAGATTTTGCAGATTTACGTTTAATCAGTTTAAATAAACCAAAATAAAATGATGATGTGTTAAAGTCATCCAACATCAAATGTGAAAATTTGCTGTTTTTCTTGGCCTTGCATATAGTAAGATGAAAGCTTTGAACTCCAGAGGGTTAAAACACAGTAAGTGACTAATAATACACCTATACAATGTCAGTGCCTACTCTATAATAATTTATTTTGTTTGTATTTGTTTAATTGGTTTTTAATCTGCCATGATAAGAAAGGCTGGATTATTACCCAGGTAAAGCATGCAATGTCCTAAGGGCATAAACTCAATATCAACAGATAGATTAAGAACAATTTGAAGCCCAATATGACAACTTCAATGTTTTGATTGGTCTGAGCAACAGCCCAAAAGTCAAAAATATAGCAAAGGCCTTAAAGTGGTTCTTGCCTTATTACCAGAGTTTGAGAGGACCCTGTGTCAAAATATCATTTTAAGGCATTCATTATTTCACTTTAGTGTATACATGTTGCATGGTCCATCCTTTATGTGTTTAATCCAATTACTACACTTGGGGCCAAATAATATTTTAACACAGAAAAACCTTACATCATGAAATGGGGGATATTGGGATCTAATATCTCATTTTTCCACCCTGGTCCCCCTAGCAGGTTAATGGGTCACAGCAAAACCCACTATGCAAAGATGTATTTATTTATTTATACATTTTTTACCTTATTTATTTCCACAATATGCACAAGTTGCATAAAAAGTGAATAACATGTAGACATAATTTGCACCACTAGATGGAGACATACTACGTTAAACCATTCTACTCTGCCCTTTCAGCAAAGATCAAAAGATGTGCTATACAGCATGAAGACAGCTATCACATCCCAGGGCATATTCATTCACCTAGTGCTATCAATGGCACATGCCTATATTATGCTGCACAGGATCTTTATTTGTATTGTAGTAATTGTATTACAAATTCTAATCTTTCTTAAAAGATAAAATGTGTATAAGATAATGCTATTTATAAATATTCTGTCATAAGGTAAAGAAAAAAGACAGTTTTCATAGCTTCAAGACACTTGTCCTTTATTATGACAAGAAATATTTTTACAGATTGAAAGTGAAAAGGGAAAATACATTTCTTGCTAATTATAACTTTAGAAGTGGAAACATATTACAGATATTACATTTACTCTCACAAAGCATTAGTGGACACAACTGAGGACTCAGCCAACAGTTTATTCATTTTAACAAAAACCTTTCATAACATACACCAAGGGCTGCCTCAGTGAATTTCTGTGTGACAGAACAGTAAATAAATATAAATTTATAAAATATCTATTTTCTTTTTTATGAGACAAATGTCACCTAACAATTTACTGCATCTAAGTGTGTATAGTTCAAATTGATTTATGCATTAATAGGACAGTAAAATACTAAATATATATCCTGTTCTGTTTGGCATTTTAGAGGCTGTTGACTTGGTGTCAGATCTATCAAACTACATGCTTAAGACATCAGATTTCTTGAACAAAATCTTGATTACAAGGAAAATGCATGACATATTTACAAAAGGATGAACTTAGCCATAGGCTCAAACTAATAGGAGGGAGAGGGGAAATGAAGTTTCCTTTTCCCTCTCGACAACAACATACATTGTGGCCGACGGGCCAGGTTCTCAACAGCACAGGACGAACAGAGACTCAAGCCTGTCTTAACTGCCAGTCTCCAAGAAGGCTGTACACTGTACAACATTTCACACCTCCACCACATCTTTACATATGAATGTAATAAAATGTAGTGGTACAACATAATGTTCTTTGACTGATTCAAGAACCGTATACAAATCTAGAAAGTGTAACTAAAAATTCACATGATGTTTAAAAAAAATTGAAAGAACCTGCATAGGATACAGGAGGTGTTCTGTTAACATTCACAATCCGTTTACCATCGAGTGACTAAAATACTGTATTTTTCACACTTACAACAAACTGAAATTACACTGAAACTTAAAATGTGCTCTAGGAAATGCACCTTGATCAGGATTTTCTTTATAAACAAGATTATACATAAAATAACAAAATATAAACACAGATTGAAAAATCATATGAAAAAAGCAAAGACTAAGGGTCCTTAAGAAAATAAATACCCAGTGTGTATGCTGACTTCACTGCAGAAAAGTACTAAATCAAAAGTCTCTCTAACTTGTCTCTCGTGTGTATGACCCAACACCACCAAACTGTATGTACTGTAAGCAGGCAATGCATATAAATAAGACATTAATAAATAAAAAGAATGGATGAAACACAGGTGTTGCTGTTAGTATAAAACGGATATAAAAGGTCTTATTAAATCTTGTTTACAGCTTTGCCCTTTTTCTTTTCTTTTTTCCACAGAGTGCCTTTTTCTAAAAAAGAAGGTCAGTCACTTTTGGCTTTTCCCATTTAGGGGTCACCACAGCGAATCGTCACACTGACGACTCGCGTTTTGACATTTGGCGTGTTTTACGCCAGATGCCCTTTTGGACGTAACCTGGATTCGAACCCAGGGCGCCGCAGCGAGAGTGCTGTGCCTTAACCAGTAGCCTACCAGGGAGTGCCTTTTTCTGAAAAAGAAAATATATATATACAGCATCTCATCTGAGCATAATGATACAAGCGTTTCATTTAAACTGTTCAGGTATATGTCCAATCTGAGACTGCATATTTGTTGGTGGACTTGAAATGCCCTCAGACCAGTCAGACATGTTGGAATGAGGAGATGAACTTGACCACTGATCAGGGGAGCCAGGGGAGGGTGTCAGAAATGGGTGGTCAGGCACCTGGACCTGATGGTTTGGGGTGTTGTCCATGGGGCCTGAATAACTGTGCTGAGAGGGTGGGGTGAGGAACTGAGTGCTGGGCATTGACTGGTTGATGGAGGAAGGCATAATCTGGGTTTCCGGTGGTAGGATGGTGTGGATGGGCATGCTGGAGGTGCCTGTGCCCTGCTGGAGCTCTGGGGAACTCAGCTCACCACTGATGAAGTTCTGGCTGTTGGTGGTGTTTGAGCTCTGGTGCTGCAGCTGGATGCTCTGCTGCTGTTGTTGCTGCTGCTGCTGTTGTTGAAGCTGCTGCAGGTTCTGCATCTGCTGCATCTGTTGGGCCTGCTGCTGGATGATGTGGGGCTGTGGACCCAGTCTGGTGTTCTGGATTCCCTGGTAGGTCATCATCTGAGACAGACTGGTGGTGGGGTGGCTGTTGTGGAGAGAGGTCATCATCCCATGCTGCCCTCCCTGGTGCAGACCTCCCTGCCCACCAGGAGCTCCTCTCATGGGATTGAACTGGCCTGGCTGGCTCATGCTGCCATGCACCCTGGAAAGCCAATCACACTGGCCGTTCATGGCACTCTGGCCACTGGAGCCAGACAGGGGCAGATGGGTAAGACGAGGAGGCAGTGGGTCAAACTGCATTCGAGCCAGCTCCTGTTTGGTGGGTATCACCATGTGGTTTACAGCCAGGTGTGGGTCAGACATCCCCTGCAGATGGTTTAGGGATACAGATGACGACTGCTGGAAAGGTGAGGTCATCATGGGTGGTGAAGCCACATCAGAGACATAGCCATGTGGAGACTCCAATGAGTCCACTGGTGACAGAACAGCTGAGCTGTCCATGAGGCTACCAGACTTTCCATCCTGGGAATTCTTCTTTTTCACCTTCATGTCTTTGCCCTCCTTGCAGCCGATGCCCTTGGTGCTGGGCTTACGTGGTTTTTTTCCCTGGCCTTGACCTTGAGGCTGGGGCTGCTTCATGCTGCCCAGGTAGCCATTGGGTGAACAAAGTGGGGGTGACAATGTGGTGCCTAGTGACCCTCCATGCATGGGAGGACTTCGTACCAGGTTGTACTCGTCCAACAGCCGCACAATGTCATGATGCATTCTCTCCTGTGCGATGTCTCTGGGTAGCCGGTCCATGTGGTCAGTTATTTCTCTGTTGGCAAAGTGGTCCAGTAAGACCTTGGCAGTCTCGTAGCTTCCTTCCCTGGCAGCCAAGAATAGAGGAGTTTCCTCCTGAGGCAGACAGACAGGAGGCAGCACGTTAAAGGATTCACAAATGCACAAGGAACGTTGTTTCGAAAAGATGTTTCCATATGGTTTTACAGTACATGGTGAAAAAAATAGGCATTGTTTATATACCTTATTGTTCTGCATGTCTTTGTTGGCACCATTTTTGAGTAGCACAATAGCAGCCTCCACATTATTTACTGCTGCAGCCCAGTGAAGGGCTGATTTACCTAAAGAGAGAAAAAACAGGGGTATTAGTATTCACTGAATGCATTTCAGGCACTTCAACATTCAGCACCACATTTTGATGAGATAAATCAAAATACAACTGAAAAACTTTACCGAAATCATCGATTGCATTGACATCAGCATGACAGTTAATGAGCTCCACAACCATGCCCTCCGCTGCTAGTCTCGCTGCCAAGATCAGGGGTGTAGTGCCATCATGCATGCGGGCATCCAGGTCTGTGGCGCGGTTCCTTATCAGAATCTGTAGAGACATACAATAGATGACACCTTTAGAGTTAAACATGACTACCTTAACTTAAAAAAACAACATAAAACTGAAATACACTTTGCATATGAGAGGACCTACCTGGAAGACCCCCTGGGCATCAGCTGCCACAGCAGCATGCAGGGGCGTCCTGCCCATGTTGTCCTGGATGTTGGCATCAGCACTAGCCTCCAGCAAACGTTTGGCAGCATCAGAGCGAGCGTAGCGGGCAGCCAGGGGAAGAG